TTAGAGGGGCAGATAAAAAAAATAGGTAATTAGATACCTCGTTAGTAAGCGGTAGTTATACCACCCAAGTTTTTTTTTTTTTTATATAGAACTTAGAATGGCAAACAAGCTGACGGCCCACCTGATGGAAAGTGGTAACCGTCGCCTATAGACATGAGCAGTACCATGGACATAACAGAGTATACTATTTCGCCCATGATACCCCCCATGCGTTGCCATTCCTGAGGACTCAGGTGTTATTCCTCTGTATCCAGTAAATTCACGCCATTCAAAGCTAAGGTAATAGGTTAAAACGTGCCGAGGACTGTATGGCATTAGGGTGGATAAAAATGTAATGTCGTAAGCGCTTCCCCCTCAAGATTGGGCGCATCTTGTTGTATATTAAGCCTTGCCCCTTTACTGGACTGCGGGGAGGGGGTCGACCGTCAAAATACCCCTTAATTGTGGGAACAACATGGTAACAATAAACAAAAAATACCAACAAATATAAATAAGACTGGAGGCTTACCATCAGTACTTGAAATATTTGTAGGTGCAAAAGTACTGTTGCGGCCCAACATTGACGTTACAAAAGGATTGGTAAATGACGCTATAGGCCACATTACAGAAATTTTTTGGTCTCAGTTCCGTCGAACCCAAATGTACGAAACAGATATATCATCAGTTTTAATTGACTTTGGCACAGACGGCATGCACGTTATTTACCTTAAAGCCATACAGTTTCCAGCAAAATTCAATTATGGTACGGCTGAAAAAAGGATGTTGCCCTTAGTTTTGTCATGAGCATTCACCGTCCATAAAATGCAGGGCAGCACCGTCGACCATGCAGTAGTATATTTGGGCTCAAAATGGTTTGAGGAAGGACAAGCGTACGTGGCTCTAAGTCGAGTCAAGTCTCTGGAAGGGCTATGTATTGAGGAATTAGATTGTACTAAATTATCAGGTAAGAAACCATGTAATAATGATGCACTGAATGAATTAAATAGAATGAGGAATATTCGGTAAACAATTTCACTACTAAAAACTAAAAACAAGAAAATAAAAATCGGTAAAAAAACTTTTAAGTTAAACGGTTTTATTTTATGTGCACTGAAAACTACAAAATAAATAAATAGTTACTTACCTGTCAACCTACGTAGGTGATCTCGGTCATTAATATCTCTGATGGTAGTGGTTGTCATAGCATGAACCATGTCAGCGGCCGAAAGGCAGTTCATGAGAGAACACTGACACCAGGGTTTGCTTGGTAGGTAAACTAAGCAGCCCACACTATAAGAAGTAGGTATTTTGACCTTCTAGTTCAGAAATATTTTAGTACTAGGCAGAATAGCTTTTAGGCATATTAGACTAAAATAAAAACGTGGGGCCCCTCTGAAATCATACCTATAGCAGAGCATATCTTATACTTTGGTAGATCATGAGCTCGGCGTTCGCTGGTGAAGCCGTAACGGCTGGTTATTGGTGGTCAAAACCTCCAGTAACGATTATAGTAAGTCGATTCAGCGGACCCTGGACTCCGGAGCTATGAGGTTTCGGATGCGACCGGGATAAACCGCTAGGATGATGATGATGACGATTATAATAAGTCAATGCAATCCACACTTAGTATAGTAGAAAGTAATACAGAAATAGTTAATGGGCCCCACGTTTTTATTTTAGTCTAATATGCCTAAAAGCTATTCTGCCTAGTACTAAAATATTTCTGAACTAGAAGGTCAAAATACCTACTTCTTATAGTGTGGGCTGCTTAGTTTACCTACCAAGCAAACCCTGGTGTCAGTGTTCTCTCATGAACTGCCTTTCGGCCGTTGACATGGTTCATGCTATGACAACCACTACCATCAGAGATATTAATGACCGAGATCACCTACGTAGGTTGACAGGTAAGTAACTATTTATTTATTTTGTAGTTTTCAGTGCACATAAAATAAAACCGTTTAACTTAAAAGTTTTTTTACCGATTTTTATTTTCTAGATTAACATAGCACGTGAGTGATACAGTAGCGCTAGCAACAGTCTATCATGTGAATTAAAGTCTATTGCCAGCACTATTGTGTCTTTAATTAACCATTCTACATATTTTTTACACGACAAATAATTTGAAATTATATATTCAGTACAACATATTGGATTAATGGATGAATATAATAAATAAATAAACCCGCATACTGAATATGATTTATCTACGTCACATACGAGTACCTACACAGACAACTTTATATATACAAATAGATATTTGTAAAAACCGATGTGCTCGTTGAACTCTTTCATACGATTAAACCTTTATAATATTTAAAAAAAAGCAATTCAATTAATGCAGTTTTTAGCTGCACTCTAAAAAAAAGAATTATAGAGTTAAGTCTCTGTATTCTGAAATTTCATAGCTATCCCCACGCAACCTTGAAAACACAACTGCTCCACAGCAGAAACACAAGTGGGACAGAGTTACCCAAGCAAACGACTTTTGTACAAAGTCTCCCTCTGACAATTTAAATCACTTATATTTTTCGTATGCATATTACAGATAATATCATCTCCAATTCTAAACGGAGTTAGTCGATAAGGTTGTAATCTATTTATTTTTATTTATTTTTAACCGAAGTCGTTACTTTCCTTTGAATTTTATAAATTATACAAACAAAAGCATATAAATACCTGCCCTTTTGTTTTTAAAACCTTTCTTAGCATAATTATGAATGCTTGTTTGCTTTATCTGCTTTTTCCATAACGTTGTGGTAATAATAAAATAAGAACATTAACATTACGGTTTCTGCGAATCCCTTCCGTTGCACTGTTTATGGGGAGGTGGGCTCTCGGCGTCGCCTCACAGAAACATATGTTTCCTTTGACAGAAAACAGCTGTTACAGATTCTGGGAACTATTAACGCATTCCAAACTACATGTAGCACCTAGTTCTTTGTTATAGGGTCGAGATTGGTGCGGCACTGGGGACTAGCCCCCTGAAAAAAGCGACTGCAATCAGCTGATCGTAGTTCACGCTATTTCCAGTAAACAGGATGCGGCATGCTTGAAAGGCGCTCTGTCAGGGCCAGGATTGTTATTTGTAGCGAGGTACCTGAACGTGTTTACCCTAAACAACAGCTGATCCGGGGCCACATGCGGTGCTGTGACGTTTTTGAGAAATACGATTTTTTTGTCTCACAATATACACCTTTTTACAAATACAGGCATTATATGTAAAAATTCTACAAATCCCTAATGTTCTTGATTGATAAAAAGATCTTCTCTTCTATTTACAGGAGTTACTACTTATCTATCAGGCTTTAGAGATGTTTTAAGACTGCTGTCCATCCCTCGCCCTTCCTTAGTCGCCTCTTACGACCACGGGATAGGAAGGGGTGGCGTATTCCGTGCCGGGACCACACAGCCACACGGCCTACTACTACTTAATTACTACTACTACTTAATTACTACTACTACCTGTTAAATTCAAATTAATGCTGAAATGTATTTAATTTTATTTTATTTAATCTGGAAACAAACAAACTTCTTAATTCTTGCCGTCAGTAACATTGGCAATCAAAAGAGGCCAGACCATTCTTCGTCGCGCCAATGTCCTGAATGCCTACCTCCGCAATGAAGCACCAATAGCTGCGTTATTCCTTATTGTTTTTGACCGGAAGGATACGATATCTGGTTAGTCATAGCGTTACCACGTTAGGTATTATTTTTTACAATTTTAGATAAAAATAAATCTGTGCGCAACATTTTGCAAAAATGTAATTCGTGGAGAAAGGTAAAATGGGTTTGAAAAAATTTGAAGATTTTTTTTTAACGGTTTTGGTAATTGTAAACTGTACATACCTCTCGTATATAAATATAGTAAAAAAATAATAAAAATAACACAACAGAGAAATAGGATAAAAGAAAGTGAGGGTAAGTAAGCTAAAAGTAGAAACAAAACTTTGCGATCACGTAAAACTCTTGAAAATCATATCGATTTGGAGAAAACAAATATTTGAGATTTGAGTAAAAATCAAATTGCGCATCTGGGAACCCTGATTAGTCACGAGGTACTTGAGAGGAGAATGGAATTGCTGATAACGAGGACTCGCGACTCCATGTTCAGCAATATACTTGTCAAGTAAACATCTACGCGCTCCTCTAAGAAAACCATCGTGGTAAATTCTTAAATTCATCACTATGGGCCAACGAGCCTAATTTCATCCTCGCCTATCATCAATTACCACTGGTATCCCGCCGATATATTTTATACCACAGCACAACGACGCTCACTTAAGACCTCAAAAGCGATAATGCATGACAACGGGGGAAAGGGATTGTTAGTAATGGGGTTTAATAGCCCCATTACTAACAATATATCCTATCAGGTCGACCTCCACGTGGTTCCCCTTAGAAACCAACGTAGTTAATTTTTGTAGAATTCATCACGATGTGTCAACTGGCCTGCTTACATCCTCACCTATCATGTATCACTGGTACCCTGCCAGTGTATACCGACAGCGCGGGCGAGGTTACCATTCCATTATCATCCATAAAAAAATGCACGATACGAACCTCTTACCTGATGACAAGTATATTCATGGACACACCTTCCATTTACGATTATACGAAATCGGCAAAAGGTTACTGGTCTTCTTACTCCGTTAGCACATGAACACCTATTCTACTTCTTATTCTTTTAAAAATACAAAATAGAATTAGGTGTAATTTTAAATTTTGCTTTGTAAATTAAAAATTATGGTAACTTCAATCGTGACAAAACAAATACGGGTTCGACACAGTAATAGGAAAACTTGAGAGATACAAAAATCTTTATTCAAGTCAAGATACACACTAATGAGATTGCTTACATATTTTCAGAAGGATACAGTTGGAAAAGTTGTATCAATATGTGTCGTCATATAATTATTTATCTTTCATTAAACATAATTATTATTACACAATACATATATATATATATATATATATATATATATATATATATATATATATATATATATATATATATATTCAGTCACAATTTGTTTAATTCGCATCGACATTCCAATGTTTATTTACAGCAAATTGTATACAATATATCTACATCACATACCACTTTTCTTGAGCTCAACATGCACCAGTCAACCTGTCAGAGAGCGATGCATGAACTGCAGTCCATCTACTGTTATGCCTAAATACCATAGATACGTGTAGACGAAAACCGCTCACAGGAATACAACGACGGAACAACATACCAACACTGCAATTAACGGAAACGAGAATAAAAATATTGGAAATTGACACAATATCGTCTAGGAAATTCGTATAAAATTATTCACTATCCAAAATACCTATTACGCGTTAAGTGCATTTGCACAGTTTATCACGCCCCGCACATATAAATACGGCTCACTAAATATTCCAATTAACTGTACACGGTAATAACTACATACAATGCTTGCCAAATGTTTATTTTACAATCTATATTACGCTTAGGACTAGAAAGTGTTTTTGGTGTTCTCACTACTACGTCAAGTAGTCCGGTGGAATTGAACACTTGTCAGTGTTGACCTGACGACGCACTGCACACCGAGAGCCGAGGAGTGATTAGTGCGGCGGCAGCGCGGTGGCGGCTGTGGCGGCGGTAGCGGCGGTGGCGGCGGTGGCGGCGGCGTAGTGCGCGTAGCTGGCGTACAGCTGCCGCAGCCACGGGTACAGGCGGAGGCGGGCTCAGGACGGCTTCTGCTCGTCCTCGTCCGCCGGCTCGCCAGCCTCGCTGCTCGACGAGCTGCCCGCGCCCTGCGCCCACAGGCTCGCGTAGCTCTGCTGCTCCGCCACCAGCGCCTCCTCCGCCTCTATCACGGCGTTGAACAGCGTCTTCTTTATCTTGATCTGCGTCGGGAACGGGAACCGCTTCGTCGACTGGCACATGCTGTTGAAGAAAATGTCGAGCGGGTCGACGGTGAGCATGGGCGCCTCGCGCTTCCGCTCCTGATACTGGGCCTCGGTAAACTGCTTCTTGCTCTGCGCCTTGCACAGGTAGTCGAGTTTCCTGTCGATGACGGTCAGCTGCTCGCAATTCTTCCTTTTGGGCGAGGACTCAGCCTCGGACTCGGAGTCGTCGGTACTGTGCCCGTCGACGCCGTTCTGCGCGTGGCCGTTGTCGGGCGCGGGTGGCGGCTGGAAGCACTCGGCTGGCTTCTTGCGGTTGCTCATGTACGGCTGCAAGAACTGCATCAGCCCCATGTACTTCCACGGGTAATTCTTCTTGGCGGGGTTGCCGGGATCCTTCGCTAGCATCTCGCTCTGTCGCTTGAGCGCGTCGCGGTAACTATCTCGCAATTTCTTCCATTTCAGTTTAACTTCTTTCACTGTAATAAATCAATTCAACAATTATAAACTTGACAAGCAAGTAAAACACATTGCGTCATCTTAGTTACTACATATCTAAGTAAAAGTAAACACTAAGCCCAACCCAAAATTGTCTGGCGCTCGCCCTGGGATGTGAGCGGAGGAGCTGTGCATATGCACAAGTCTAACAGTGCACCTACACTTGCGCCTTTTCTAGAGAACAAGAAACTAAACTCCTCTGAAAAGTAAGCGTTGCTATTCCTGAGGACTCAGGTGTTATTCCTCTGTATCCTGTAAATTCACGCCATATCCCACCCTTCAAACCGAAATCACGCCTTGACCGTATCATCACGGTCAAGGCGACATAGAAATATCTATATCGCCCATAACGGTCGGATAATTATTTTCGAATATATTAAAAGTATATTATTTTTTGGATACTAAAAATGATATATTGGTATAGACTTTTAACATATTCTTTACTGGATCAGTATAATAGATATTATAACTAAAATATATAGATATTACAATATATTACCAATATTTACACCTAATACCGTGACAAATAACTTAATAAGTGACAATAAAAATCGAGACAGCAGACACTTTTGCGCAGGTCAGGAGATATTTAAATCGTGTTCATTTGCTAGTACAAAGACTTCCAAAGTTAAATAAATCAGGGCCTCTTTTATAAAAATATGAGTACTTAAATACCTAGTGGAGTATAGGTACCTATATGGATTCGTGCATATAATATTCACAAAACAGTTATTACAATGTAGGAGCAATGCAAAGTTCAAGGACGCAAATATCGAGATCCCTTATATGCTCTATATTGCACGTACATAGCTATAGGTATGTAGCTAATGTAGCCATGGTCGGATTTGAAGATCGATTATGAATATACCACGTATTTATTCAGTACATATACAGAGCTGTGATTTGTCGTTAGCGAGCATTGTAATTCAATCTTTGTCACGGTCGACAACGCGCGAATAATGTCTCCCGTGCTGTTGGCGTCATTACGTTGCAGTTACCGCGTACTTTCAGACGAGCTGTTTTCTTTTTCAATCGACTTCAAAAAGAGTGTTCTCAATTTGGTTGCATTTTTTTTTTATGTTTGCTACCTCGTAACTCCGTCAGTTCGAACCCGCTTTTTTATTTTTTAATCTGAAAGGATACCTATACTTACAGATTGATCCCATAGATTTTTTTCAAAATTAGTTCAGTAATTTATTTTTTAAATAAAAATAACTGATTTAGTCATAATTCATGTCTCTTTTTCATTTGTTTGTACAATCTTTAATTATTGACACGTGCCGTATACATTAAAAAAATAAATATCTTTTTATTTTATATACCTGCTTACTCGAAAATTATCAACAAACGGACATTGTTTTCTTTACTATCTTATGCTTTATTTTGAAAGTACTTAACTTAAGACTTAAGATTTCTGATTATTGCTCTTTTAAGACAAAATAAAAATTTACAATAGATAATTATAATTTTATAGGTATAAAGAACTGCATAAACCCTTAAACCCAGTTAAGTCGTATACATAATGATACCTATTTGAAGTTAACAAAAGACCTCTAACTGGTTTTTTTTTAATGGTAAAGATTGGAGACTTGGCTTTTTGATACTATGACGGATTTACCTAAAACTCAAAGGCTATAATTTAACTGTGTTGTTAAACTCTGGCACAGGAAACACGCCTTTAGAGCAAATAATTTCAAAGTACTCATAATAATATCCACCGGATACGAGCAATTAGTAGAAATCAACACATACAAGTGCATTTTCAATTACAGATACCTAATATCTAGTTAAGTACGTATATATAACAATATATCGGTTCGGGGATCGGCTACCATAGCACAGCTGAGCGTCCAGTCTGTCGCAATTTTGTAACGTCAACAGAATGCACAAATGCATTCGATGTTAAATGGTAAGTGGAGAATCACAGTATAGCATTCGCAGAACGCTAATCATCGACATCCGTGTATTATTAATTGAAATAGATAGCCCTCGTAGGTATACGGATACGAAGGAGCACGGTGCTCGTGAACCAGTATGCATCTGTCAGTCGTTACAATAAAGGAGTGCGTGCGGTAGACTGCTGTGCGTGCAAGACGCGGCCCGCTGCCGCCGACACGGCGCGAGGGGCCGACGGAGCGGGGGGAGCGGGGGGAGGGGCGACCGACGCGAGACTAGCGGGCCGAGCGACGCGCAATGGCGGCGCACGCAGCCCGCGGCCGCGGCCTCGTGCACTGGCGACTCCCGACCCGACGCAACACTCACCGGATGACAAGTCCGTCTCCTTCATCACCTCGGCCCACGCGGCGTCCTTCAGCTCCTGGTCGCGGTACTCGATGGCGGTCGTGTTCCACAGGCAGGGGTATTTGCGAACGGTCTCGATAAAGTGCTCCATGGCGGCGTGCGGGCTCGATGCGGGCGGTGCGGCGGCGGCGGCGGGCTCGCGCGGCGTACTGAGCGCGGCCGGCCCCGGGCCCCGCGCCGCCGCCGCCCGCAGCCCGCGGCCCTGTGCCGCCGCCGCACCGTCGCACCGCCGCGCCACCGCACGCCGCGGCGCCGTCCGTACACCGTACGCCGCTCGCCGCACACCGCACACCGCACACCGCACACCGCAACGACCGCGTACCCACCCGCTCGCTCCTTCCGTCGCTTCTTGCATCGCGCCCTTGCTGCCGCCGCTATACACTCAATGCGCTCTGTCTTATTCCTAGCGGAAATCGTAGTGGAACTGCACATTTATGCTATTTTTATTTCTGATATAAATTACGTTGATATATTGTATTCTAGTATGACACTGAAACATGTCCTAAAAAGTACGTAATTATATATTGGCACATAGTGCTTAAAATTTTCTACGTAAAGGACGGTATGAAACATAACAATGACTATAGTCTGACAGCTGAGTAGGTATTCTGATTAAACATAACCATAAGCAGATTCATTCATAAATAAGATTCTTAGTGGATGAAAACGGAATGGTAGCTCCACCTGCACTATCGGTATACGCTGGCGGGGCACCAGTCAGCGATGATAGGTGAAGATGAAATCAGGTCAATTAGCTCATCGTGACGGATTCGACATAATTTAATCACAATGGTTTCCAGGTGGGACCGCGTGGAAGTCGACCTGACTATATACCCTATATTCCTAACAATGGGGGTTAATATGCCCATTACTAACGACCCCTCTCCCCGTCCATAAATTAGGTAGCACAGCGCAAGTTTAGTGATGCCTTATCGTCAAGCCAAAACGGTAATTAGATACGTACTTTTGTTTTTACATGAGCAAGAAAAGAGGAAAACAGTGGATTGTTTGTTCGGCGAGGGTGGTGCTCGGATGGTGCCCCGGGCGACTTACGAGTGGAGCGCTACTCAATGTCTTATAACGATTTAGTTGTCCAAATTTTATAATTATTTAACAACGTAACTATTAGCTTACACCTACATAAGTCTTTTTTTACGCATTTATTTATGTCAATACATTCAGAGAGCCCCAATAATAACTACCACAAATATATGGTATAGAATCAATTCGTGAATGAACGTATTGTCAAAAAAATTCCATTATATCGGACATTGCGAAATACAATGTTGGAAGACAAAACATTAATTCGTTGAATCGAAATGGGAGTTCACAAAAAACCAGCCGAGTCCCTACTGCAGAGATTCACAGCTCTTCCTGCGGGAGGAAGTTTCATTTCCGACGCGGACGGAGGTCGCTTTTATGTTATTTTTGTAAACATACAATATTTTTGTTCACCGATACCCTATCGTACATACAAGTCACAGATTGAAGGCTAAACCACAAGGTCACTTATGCAATGATTAGATACCTACTTAAAAGGAAACTAATGAGAGACAGCATAATATTTATTATAAAAATTCATAATTTTATGTCGTTTACGTTACTCTTTTAACTATTATATATATATATATATATATATATATATATGCCCGCATGGTTGGCATATATATATATATATATATATATATATATATATTATATTGCTTGTACTATATATACTTCCACTTACCAAAGTATGGACTCCTATAGTCCATTTGACGAATTTTCGAAACTAAGAGTTTGATCATCTGTGTTCATATTATTGTATTACTTTTCTATTGTATTGCTTCATCCTCGCCTCTCATCCCTCACCAGTGCCCTGCCAGGGTATACCAATAATGCAGGCGGGGTTTTTTTTTTCGATAAGTGAATATGGAATGATAACCCCGCCCGCGCTAACGGTATACGCTGGCGGAGCACCAGTGAAGGGTGATAGATGAGAATGAAAACAGACCAGTTAGTCCATCATGATGAATTCATCAGGAATTGACCATGATAGTTTCCAGGGGGAACCGCGAGGAGGTCGACCTGGTTGGGTATATTGCTAGCAATGGGATTCTCAGTCTCCATCACTAACAATCCCTTTCCCCCCGGTATATCTTGAGTTAGATAATATACAGCCTATATTACTCGCTGTATTTTTTATGCAACTTAAAATGACAAAGAAACTAACAACCTCCCTGATGGGAAATGGCAATCGTCGCTTATAGACATGAACAGTGCCTTGGGCATAACAGAGTAAACTGTTTCGCCCATGATACCCCCCATAGATCGCCATTCCTGAGGACTAATGTGTTATGCCTCTGTACCCTGTAATTTCATTACCATATCCCACTCTTCAAGCCGAAACACAACCATGCAAACAACTGCTTCACGGCAGTAATACAAATGGGACAGAGGTACCCAAACTGACGACTTTAGTGCAATGTTTCTCTCTGTTGATAATATAACTATCTATAGTATTTGAGTTTATCCATTATAAACAAATAAACATACATACTATTTAAGTATTTTCTCTTTATATCTTTACTACTTTAGGTAATACATATAATAAAGTAAAAAAATAGGTAAAAAAATAAAAAAACTGGACATAAATAGTTCCTATAGGAGACGTAGAATTTTAATCTAATGTAATCGTCTGACGCATACTATAATTTTATCTGTCATTTAATTAAACATTTAAGTTTGAAAAATACGTCGCCACAGACTGCAAATAGGTTGTCTTTTATAAAAAAAATCTTTATTTTTTCCTAGTGATCTGTCCCGGCTTCGCACGGGTAAATAGAAGCTTGAAAATAATATATAATCTCTTTACAATATTAGTATAGATATAGAATTATTTAATTGTTTTTTAATGTATCACGAGGTTATAAAGATGTTGCTACGTTAATTAATTGGCCGCCAGCAGATACTAAGTAAATTCAACCTAATCAGAGAAGTCAGGTGTCTTACTTTCAACTTCTTCAATTGGATATACGTGTACATAGACGAAGGTATTGTAATTATTTGTCCTTTCGTTGATTCTCTCAGCTAAACCAGAGAAAGGACCGGCTCCCTAAATCGAGTCCAATAATAGGAATGTTATCAGCCCCGCTCGCTTCGCCCCGTTGCCACGTTATATGCGGCCCCACCGGCGCCGCGCCCCTACTGCAATTCACTGTCATCGCCAAACACGGCTTGACAACAGTCAAAATCAGCTGGAGCCATGACCACGGCTGTTGCGTAAACCGTAGCGCGCTCAGCAGCGGCATCAGGCATACCGGTATTGACGTCCTGTTCCCTCCGCGCTATTTTATCATCTATTCCTTTCTAACGCATCTTACAATGTGTCTCTTTGTGAGTTTGACAATTAGGAATTGTTTATTCGTAGATGGTATATATCTTAATGTATATACATATGTCGTGATAATTTATAGCTAAATTCGTATCCGCCAAATTAGACACTCCAGCAGGAGAAATAAACACCGGCCGGCGTCGCTGCGCACAGCTGTTGCGGATCGATGCGTCCCATCCCGCACCCCGTGCCCTGCGCCCAGCGCCCAGCGCCCTTGATCCACTGCCGAGCTCCCGCCCCACGCCGCTAACCGCCACGCTCCCCGCCAATCTTCCCCATGCATTTTAGAATAAATAAAAAAAATACGATCATAAAATAAATTCGTAATTACAATAGAGATATATTGAGTACTGGGGAGGTTAGTCCCCATTGCTACCAATATACCTTAGCAGGTCGACCTCTACGCGGTTCCCCCTGGAAACTACTGTGACTAATTTATCGTTGAATTCGTCACGATAGGCTAACTGACCTGCTTTTTCATCTTCACCTGTCACCTCTCACTGGTACCCCGCCAGTGTATACCGATAGCGCAGGAGGGGTTACCATGCCATTTTCACCCAACAAAAAAATCGCCTTCTGTTTAAGTCGGTTGAAAAGTCATTATTACCATCACGGGAACTTACTCGTGTTTCTATCGCCAAGCAGCCTGCACTAATAGCAACGTATAAGCGTACCATGGGCGTCACAGTGTAATTTATGTTTACAGGCGATGATTGGGTGTTTTTTATCTGATAGATTGTCATATTGACTATAATCACATAAAAAAATGCTGCTTTGCATAAATATAGTCCAAACAGTGGATTTCCGTTATATCGCCATCGACAGGGAGTTCACCCTCATACCCTACAGCCTAAATGGTCGCGTACAACGCGGTTTCAGAGATGTTTTTTCCATAAACTCTCAGGTTATGGAATAAGCTCCCTGCCGAGGTTTTCCCAAGTGACTACAGCATGGGGTTCTTCAAAAGGTAAAGAGGTTTCTTCAGGGTCGGCAACGCGCGCGTAATACCTCTGGTATTGCAAGCGTTCAATGGCTACGGTAACCGCATACCATCAGGAGGGCCGTATGCTTGTTTGCCACCTCAGTGGTATAAAAAAAATATTAAAAATTTGTTAGAATTTTATGTGTTGATGATCAAATTTCTACTGTTTATTATATCATCATTTTAACTGTCCACTGCTGGACATAAGCCCTCCTTGGAGAGTTTTACCAGCGGTTGTCACGTTTGGCAGGCGGATTGGCAACCGCAGTTAGGCTTTAGAGATGTTTTAAGAGAGACGCTGCTGCCCATCCCTCGCTCTCCCCTAATCGCCTCTTACGACACCCATGGGATAAGAGGGGGTGGCCTATTCTACGCCGGGACCACACGGCGAATTATTTTATCATAGTATAAAGAAATCTTCCCTAACATTACTATGTGGGAGGAAAGGGATTGTTAGCAATGGAGTTTGACAGCTCCATTGCTAGCAATATGCCCTATTAGGTAGACCTACACGTGGTTCCCCCTGGAAACCATCATGAACAATTTTTGTTGAATTCGTCACAATAGGCTAACTGACCTACTTCATCCTCACCTATCACCCATTACTGGTGCCCCGCCGGTGTAAACCGATAGCGCGGGTGGGGTTACAACTCCATTATCACCCATTAAAAAAACATTATTATGTAGCTATTATAGTATTTAGTATATTTTTTGTCTTCTTCATATGGAGGAAGGTTTACTCACCCACACGGGCTTTAACCAAGTGTGGGAGAGGTTTCAGAGACGGAAGATGTGATAGTAGACGAGGTGAGGCATTTTCAGCTAATTTGGCAATTATTGTTATAACCTAAGTTTATTTTATAGATAATCTCAAGAATTTGAATACCAAATTGCACGAGATTGGCTCTTCCAACTGGCTCCCGTAGCGGATACGGACCCTTTTGCTGTGTGGTCCCGACATAGAATGGGCCACCCCTTTCTTTCCCGTGAGTATCGAAAGAGATGACTAAGGAAACTTAATGGTTAAGGGAGGGGGGAAAGGGATTGTTAGTAATGGAGACTGAAAATCCCATTGCTAGCAATATACCCAACCAGGTCGACCTCCTCACGGTTCTCCCTGGAAACTATCATGGTTAATTCCTAATGAATTCATCATGATGGGCTAACTGGCCTGTTTTCATTCTCATCTATCACCCTTCACTGGTGCTCCGCCAGCGTATCCCGTTAGCGCAGGCGGGGTTACCATACCATTTTCACCCAACAAAATGGTTAAGGGATGGACAGCAGCGTCACTTTTAAAACATCACCAAAGCCTAACCGCGGTTGTCAAAACTGCTATAAAGCTTGGCAAAACCTCTCTTATTTATGAAGTTTATTTTAAGTTAATGCCCAGTTATCTAGTTAAGTACTAAGTTATTGATGAATAAAATTATGAGAGATCTTACCTTGTACTTATTTTACTCTAACAATTGTTATACTCATTTTATTTAGATAAATGTTAGTATTTACATAAAAATTGTTATAGAATGTGAATAAAATTGTGTTAGCACAATTTTATATTTATAACGCCATCTGTACTGAAATTTCTAAACTACCTATTTATATTTCCTAAGAACTGCAAGAGCAAAAATATGTTATATATAGCAAAAATAAAGAGCCAAATTAAATTAAAGCAAAAAAGAAAACTAACGTAGAAGGCGGTAAAAATATAATAATGTATTATCCCAGCATTAGGAGTGAAGGAATTGTTAGTAATACGGCCTTTTTTTTTTAATGGATAATAATGGAATGGTAACCCCGCCCGCGGGCGGAACACCAGTGAGAGATGATAGGTGAGAATCAAAAAGCAGATCAGTTAACCCATCGTGATGAATTCACCTGGAATTCAGCACAATGGTTTCCAGGGGGGCCATGTGGAGGTCGACCTTTTTGGGCATATTGCTAACAATGAGACTGGTAGTTTGATTTACTATCAACCTCCCCCCCCCCCCCCTTCACAGTAATAGGGCCTCGCAGCCCTATTGGCGACTAGCACTTTACCCTTACATTACTAGTCGCCATCTTAGGGAGGGAAGGGGTCCCATTGTTAGCAATATAACTTGTCAGGTCGATTTCCACGTAGTCTCCCCTGGAAACCATCGTGCTAAATTTCAGATGTGTTCATCACGAAGGGCTAACTGATCTGCCTTTCATTCCTATCTATCATCCCTCACTGGTGCCCCACCAGTGTATACCAATAGCGCTGACGGGGTTACCATTCCATTATCATCTATTAAAAAAAAGGTGGCCGTCGTATATTATGATCCATGATGATTTCTTTTTGGAGATTTAGAGGGATTTCAATATAGATTTAGGAATAATAATTTATAAGAGTAGGTAAGCTCGGTAAGAATTCTTTTTTTTGTTCTGTTTTTATTTTTTAGTTTTGATTAGTTAGTTGTCACTGTCACCGTCATACGTCATGTGTCATGTCATGTTTACTTCCATTTTGTGTTTGTGAACCCACCGTATGTTTTATATTGCGAAATTGCAAAATTGTAATAAAAAGTACATTAATATTAAATATTTTAATAATATTTAACTTATTGATCTCGAAGAAAGGTAATATTACATAGGGAGTAAACTCAATAAGTGATAACGTGCATCTCATTACGAACTGATAGTAAACAAGCCTGTGAAATGATCTATCGTTGTTCACGGAAGACTGTGTGGCAAGCAGAGATTGGATGCTGGTGAGAAACGTTGGAGCATTGAGCCCTTAAGCTGGAGAGACTAAACCTCGATATGGACGGCAACGGGGAGCCGGAGCAGGAGCGTTCACCGTTAGTATAATAACAATGGATTTATTCCCTTGAGTCTCGACTTGACCTGACCCTACTTATCATTATTGCAAGTTCTGTTACAAAAAACGGACTATTTCCTATTAAATGACATTCAATATCTCAGTAGTATAGAGAAAATGAGCTATGGATTGATGACAACAGTTTATAATTCTCATATGGGACACTGTTCTATAACAATATAATATTAATAGAATAGATGTAAATAATTTAATGTTAATGTAATCATGACATATGTGATTAATGATAGATCGTTTAGATGATAAGCCTATGATGGTAGGAGGTGTAATACCACAGGCACCTAGGAATATGTGACCTATAGTCAACCCTAAGGATATCTTCTAATCCAAGGGCCTCCCAACTAGTGCCTGCTAGTATGCAATTTTGCACAAAGCCAAATGTTGAATTAACTGTGAATTCAATCTAGACTTTAAACATACCACATTGTAAATTTAAAGTGCTATTTATTTTTAGCTAATTTATAATAAAATGAGATCAAATGTATAAAACTGCTAGTAATGAAAATAGTGTGAAATGTAACTTTAATTGAATGTTATATTGAATATTAACAGATTAGGTGTGGACAACAGTGCTGCAGAAGGAGATGGGGACAGGGGCAGGTACAGGTATGTATTCAGTCATTATTTCTCTATACTGTAAATGAGCAATCCGCCCCTGCTTCACACATGTAGATAGAAAGATAAATTAGTATTTTATATTAGTAATAAATAAATGTTTTTGCTTTTGCTTATATGATTATAATTGTCCTCGGGAACTCTATTTTTTATGAAAGTAATATATAGCCTATGTTACTTACTGATAATGCAGCTTGCTACAGGTGAAATAATTTTTCGAATTGTTTAAGTAATTTTGAGTCTATCTATTATTATAAACAAACATATATGAAATCAAATCTTTCCTCTTTATAATATAGTATAGATATAGATGGCAGTAGATGTTGAGGCTGGGCACGTGTGTTGTTTTGATGTCAACTTGCTAAACTCTATTTTGGCATAAATTTCTGTGGTAGTAGTGTTTTTTTATCAATCTATCTTTAATAATAAATTTAAGTGACTTCTATAAATAAACATATTGCTAGATATGAATAGAGGAGAAAAGGAGGATCCTTTTTGCTTTGTCATAGTCAGGAAAATAGGAAAATAGCTTAAAATATAAATAAAATATATAAATAGCTAAAATCTATAAGTTCAGTAGGTATTTTCAATAGAATAGTAATTGTTTGCATGCCCAATCAAAATGAGCCAGAGTACTCAAAGAGAGAGGACAATATTCTATTTTTGTGGCATGAATTGTTGCAGATTGTTGGAGCACTAGCTGCTTTAATAATGTTATTTGTCATTTTTGAACAAGAAGAGCTGGTTCCTTTTTTAGATTTTTCCCTAGCTAGTTATAAACTTTTGCCCCCTTGCTGGTTTATCATTGAATTTTGAGACACATATATTTTGCTAGAAGTGGATCCTTATATTGTATGTATGTGTGTGGGCAGCACCCTGATGCGGTGCGCGTCGCAGTCGTCGCTGGACGAGTCGTCGCAGCGCGCGGCGGCGGCGGCGGCGGTGGCGGCCGGCGGCGGCGTCCACAGCACCGCGCACGCCGCCGCGCTGCTCTCCACGCTGGCCGGCCTGCGCCGCGACGGCACGCTCGCCGACGTGCGCCTGCAGGTCTCCCTTCTCATTATGTATTTCTCTAATGTCAACAATTTGTTTCTTATATACCAGACCAGTGTCACATACCAGAGTGGGAAAACTAAGTAAAAGCTCATGTTCTATTAGGTTAATATCAAGGAGAGTATCCTTGTCTAATGAGGATAGACAGCTGTTCAATGATTAGTAGTTAGTAACATGTTATGATTGCTCCCCGGAGGAGCTCCAGTCTGTCATGTACATATGGTTGCAAGGTACTTAATTATTTTCTTTTTAAAAAAGAAATAAAATAAGTAATATTTAGTGCTTGATTTTAAATTTAATGACAAAAAATATTTAACAGTAAACAAAAAGGAGAAAAGAACACTAAATTGGTGTCCCGCAGCTGTATGTCCTGTCTATCTCAACATGACGCTGATTTGCATTGGCAACAATTTTATGCAACTTTATGTAAATTTATGTAACTTGGAATTACAAACAAGTCACCTAACGGAAAGTGTTAACCATCGCACGTAGACAATGAGATGTTATTTACAAAAACAATAAATTCAAGGATACAAGTGAATGCGTAGGCGCAGGCGGAGAGCGTGCCGGCGGAGGGGGCGGCGGCGGCGGGGACGGCGGGGACGGCGGGGACGACGGGGACGACGGGGACGACGGGGACGACGGGGACGACGGCGGCGGCGGAGGCGAAGGCGGCGGGCGGCGTGTGGGCGCACCGCGCCGTGCTGGCGGCCGCGTCGCCGTACTTCCTCGCCATGTTCACGCAGTTCGACGAGCGCACGCGGCCCGTCGTCACTATACAGGTGCTGTATGGTCACGTCATGGTGTGAGCAAACAGTTCCATGGATGTTACTCAATTGAATATTAGATTTGCCTTCACAGTATGAGTACCAAAGGGTACATAACAGCTGTATAAAGTAAATGCAGTGAAGTGCATTGTCAAATAATTTAGTAATTTCAATATATATTGAAATTAGCATTTATTAAATTCACTACTGGTAGTCCTGCACTTTTATGCAATATCACTTTTTGCGCATTTGCTTTAATAATTTCAAAATAATTAGGGTTGAGCAGTTTGGTACCTCTCTATTTTCTATATGTATACCCTTCCTTTTCCTACGCACAGTATGCTTATGTAAAAGAAGAGGAAGACAATACAATCTCATACTCCGTCATTGAGAGAATTGCCGAGGTCACCCCAGTCAGATCATATTATAAAATTTACTGCGAACCAGCCCATTGCTCCATAATCAGTCAATCACAGAACATGTTTAACATCATTTGTTGCATAAATATATTTAATTCAAGGCTTTTGTACTTTTTTTGCACAATTTTTTGTAATGTATCCAGAATGTGGAGCCTGAAGCCCTGGAAGCTATCATCGAGTACATTTACATGCCGGAATCGCTCGTTATTACGGAGGATAACGTGCAGGTAATCTCCATGATTACTATTCTAAGGTACCAGCAATGAGTACATTCAGATCTTTACAAATGAGATGAAAACATTACTTGCGAATGATTTATCGTGTACATGAGTGTAGAACACAGTTGGTTGTGCGGCGGCAGGCGCTGCTGTCGGCGGCGTCGCTGCTGCAGGTGGCGGGCGTGCGCGCGGCGGCGTGCGGCTTCCTGGCGGCGGCGCTGGCGCCCGACAACGCGCTCGGCATCCGCGCCTTCGCCGACCTGCACGCCTGCCGCCAGCTGGCGCTCGCCGCCGCACGCTACGTGCACGACCACTTCGTCGAGGTACGCGCGCCTCACCTCGCCTCGCCTCCTCTACCACGCAGCACACCTGGCGACCACCACCGCGTCTAACGCTACACGCAACATTTGGAGCGGCTAATATATTGACACTTGCGAGATATACATGTGCTCCTAATTTCATAAACATCTCCAACGGTTATTTAAATATTAACGTCCAAAAATCGTCATTTTTATCACTCACTGATTTATAGATCAAAACTCTAACTCAGTTCCAGATAGAACCTAGAAAGTTCAAATTTGGCATGCACATAAGTAATTAGGTGAATACAAAGGAATAAATCAGAAACTGGTAATTTTTTATCATTTTATTATAATTTTTCACTTAATTGATTCTATGGTCTGCCTTGACTAGTTCTCATATATGAATTGTTATATTCGATAGCTAGTTTCTACCAGCAAGCCAAATTTTCGGAATAGTAAAGAAAGAACTAACAAGTAACAAGTTTAGAGCTTGCAAAGGCTATAATATAATTTGTATATGGAAACTAGCCAAGTCAGACTTTATTACTACAATGCATTATAATTATCCTAAGTTATAAGAAGTAATGATATTTTATGTTGTTATAAATAAATTTCAGGACTGACCATTGAACTTGGCACCCATTTAGATCTCACTTCTTTTGTCGTCGAAGTCATATATAATAACCAAGGCATATATCATAATATTGAACTTGGCACTCATTTTACATTATGTTTTTGATGGGATACATATTTAATGCATTATTGTTTAGATGTAATTTTTTGTCATGTGACTGTATCCAGGTGCTCGAGACGGAGGAGTTCCTAGCGCTGTCGGCAGACGTGCTGGCGCAGCTGCTGGACAGTGACCGCATCACTGTCCCCAACGAGGAGGTCGTCCTCGATGCCGTCGTGCGCTGGATGCAGCACGACCCAGAGGTACATGGCATACTTTTACCTAAAATGATGAAGGAAGCTCAGGGAGTACACGTGAGTGACGGTCCCGCGGCGGTGCAGGCGCGCGCGGCGTCGCTGGGCATGCTGCTGGAGCACGTGCGGCTGCCGCTGCTGCCGCAGGAGCGGCTGGTGGCCCGCGCCGCCGCCGAGCCGCTGGCCGGCGCCGGGCTGCGCGTCAAGGACCTGGTCATCGAGGCGCTGTCCTACCACCTGCTGCGGCCCGAGCGGCGCGCCGCCGCCGCCGCCGCCAGCCGGCGCGCGCGGCCGCGCCGCCCGCCGCGGCCGCCGCGCGCGCTGCTCGTGGTGGGCGGCCAGGCGCCCAAGGCCATCCGCGACGTGGAGCTGTGCCGCCTCGACGCCGCCGCCTGGCGCGCCGCCGCGCCGCTGCCCGCGCGCCGCTGCCGCGCCGGCCTGGCCGTGCTCGGCGGCAAGGTGTACGCCGTCGGCGGCTTCAACGGTACGACCCCCGGTCCCCTCCTCGTGCCCCTCGCGCCCCTCGCGCGTAGCGTCGCCGCGTACTGACCGTGCCGCTGTGCAGGCACGCTGCGCGTGCGCAGCGTGGACGTGTACGACGTGGCGAGCGACTCGTGGTCGGCCGGGCCGCCGCTGGGCGCGCGCCGCTCGACGCTGGGCGTGGCCGTGCTGGGCGGCGTGCTGTACGCCGTGGGCGGCTTCGACGGCGCCGCCGGCCTCAGCTCGGCCGAGGCGCTGGACCCGCGCCACGGCGCCTGGCGGCCCGTCGCCTCCATGGCCACGCGCCGCTCGTCGGTCGGCGTGGCCGTGCTCGACGGCCGCATCTACGCCGTCGGCGGCTACGACGGCGCCTCGCGCCAGTGCCTGCAGACCGTCGAGAGGTGCGCCCGCCCTCCGCCTGTTATACTTTTCGTATCTATTGCCCGATTAGTATTTATGAAAAAAATATTTAATTTTGTGAAAAAACATTTAGGACCGTATCTTCCCTAAGCGACATGTGATGCCCTTAATCTGATCTTCGACGCCTCGATACTGATTCTATACCTAATAATAATGATAATGATAATCGAGACCTTAACCCCACTAAATGCTTTATAGTCACATTTACACGTAAATCCAAATTAATTGCTACTAAATACAATATTAATGAATTCCAGAAAAAAAAACAACAGCTAATAAAGATTTATATGTTACCTATGATACGAAATAAATTTTTGACGTTCATATCGACGATTTTGTAACCGAAGCTTCACAGGCACTCGGATTCTTAATGCGCAGCTCAACTTATTTTCAGCAAGCCAAAACCTTAAAAATTCTATACTGTTCATTAGTTAGGAGTAAAATACGCCTTACAAATCTAAAATCCGACATACGTGAAGTGGAAGGACGTCCTGAACGTGGGTCATCTTGAACGCTTTCTCGGCCCTCTCTGAATCTTTTTAGCCACTTGTGGACGGTTGGTTCCTTCACAGCATCATCCCCATAAACTGAGATCGGCAAAAATTTCACGGCCATTCTTGCCGAGTTTCGAGAGAAACTTGATTACGACGCGCTGCTCTTCAACGGAAGCGGGCTCCATGCCGACGGGGTTTCGTTAAGAGGTAACTTCACAGATGGCGTGACAAGCCAGTTCGCACCGCACGGCGGTCAGACCAGAACTGAAGCATTGTTAGGGACATAAGGAAGGGGTCCTGCGCTTACCTGGCCTCCCCACTCCTCTTTCTCGCATTCCAGAACACTTTTATACGAACTTTCCGGACAGACCTCGTATAAAACTTATATATCTCGCCTTGAAAACATCCAGAAATAATTTATTAGTTTTTTGGCTTATAGATTATATGATTTATTTTTATTTTATTTTTATTTTTGTAATACAACAACAGATTACAAACAAAACTTTTAACAATAGAATACAACAATATGTTAGCATTATAAGTCTGCAGTCCAATTATAGTTGTGCTCAACATTCACAGAGGTGAAACAGAATACGTTGATTTTTACTACAAAAAGAATCAATGATAAAAACTAGATACAAAACAATCAAATCAAAAACAAAACTACCAAACTATGCTTATAAACTATTAGGTTATCAATGTATGTAAAGTGCTTCGATACAATGAAAATTGCTGATAGAATATGTCAATATCCGATTTACAATCAATGTCGTTGTACAATTTGCACATTCTGTATATTGGATTATTATATGACACATTATTGTTTGCGAATGATATGATAGATATATGATACTAAAAATTATCTTGAATTCTGTAAAAAATACCACTTTCTCCCACTCGGAAAGCGCAGAAATATCGCTGACATTGCATATCTGATGAGGATAGCTTCCACCGAGGTCGATTGCCTTGAACACAATAGTTTTAATTTATGTAGTAACATAAAACTATTCCACTCTATTTGTCCCACTAGTGTCATGGAATTATAAACAAAATTCGTTCCTTTGGCGAGCTAGCAACAACTTTAATACTCTTTATAGAATTTTTAATATCGATTTATTTTCGAAAAATATAATATCAGCGAGTGACCAACTGAGTAAGCAATTTTTGATTCATAGTCTGGTTAAATACCTATCGTATAGATAAGAAGGTCGTATTTTAATTAAATATTTACATTTGATTTTTACTTTATATTTCAATCTTCGTTTTTTTTTTCATTCCTTTTATTTATTTATACTTTTTTTTGTTAATTTCTATCGCTACTTGTGAAAACTTACTAGTGGCTCGGTTTGTGATCCTAAACCGTATCTACTTGCTCTGGTATAGCCCTGGTTTTCCTGTGAATAAATAAATAATAGACTGGTAGGGCTCAGTTGAAAGCTTGTACTCGTATGTATGTGATGCGAGTGGGTACGACGCGCAGGTACGACCCCGCGGCGGACGCGTGGGAGGCGGCCGAGCAGATGGCGGCGCGGCGGTCGGGCGCGGGCGTGGGCGTGCTGGGCGACACGCTGTACGCGGTGGGCGGCCACGACGGGCCGGCCGTGCGCCGCTCGGTCGAGCGCTACCGCGCCGGCCGCGGCTGGCAGCCCGCGCCGCACATGCACTCGGCGCGCCGCAACGCCGCCGTCGCCGCGCACCAGGGCCGCCTCTACGTCGTCGGCGGCGACGACGGCGCCGCCAACCTCGACACCGTCGAGGTACGCCGCGAGCGCCGTGCTCTCTAACCTTTACGTAGCATTAACTCGCTTAAAAAAAAGAAGCTTCTGTGTTCCATCGTAATCTGTCCTGTACCGTCAGCCGAGTTTGGAAGGTCGGCAAGTACAGGCGAGTGCGCGGTTGTGCGCAGGTGTTCGACCCGGCGACGGACACGTGGACGATGCTGAGCGGCAGCATGTCGGTGGGCCGGTCGTACGCGGGCGTGGCGGTGGTGGACCTGCCCGCCTGATGCCCGCCCGCGCCGCCGCGGCCGCCGCCCGACGACCCGCGCCACCCGCGCCACCCGCCCTACGACGACCCCGCGCCGCCGTACGCCCACATGCACGCACACGCCGAGCCCGGGTTTGTACTTCTAATGTTTATTTCACTCGTAAGATCGTTGGTAAACCTCATATTTAAACTTCCGTTGATCTTAAGCTTCGAATAAAATCCACACTAGTTCAGAAATTGGTAGTAACCGATGATCAGTTTTATATAATGTAAGATGTAAACAAATTATCTACATTTCTTTTAAAGGGATATAGTATTACGCGTATACGTTACGATAATGATAGAATTTAATGTTTCAAATATCATAAAATTTTTCATATAAAACAAAAATTCGTAATAAATGTAAATTTTTCACTCTGTATAAAAAAGCGACGTTGCCGCTTTAGTCACAACTGCAATAGTATTGGAGTAACTCTAAAAGTCAGTGAACAGCCTTAAAAACGCCACTATTGACGAGAAAATAAAAAAAGTGCATTTAATCCAATAAGCCAAGGTCGCGGCGTTATTTATTGGCGCACCAAGGATCACAGTTCGCATGGACCTCAGAATTTTATACCTACACAATAGTTACGTATCTGACGTCTGCGCGTTGTGCGTTTGTTTTCGTAATTACACATGAACGTAGCCATCTTTCGTGTACAACAGTGTACTATCTTAGACTACCTAGAAATTGTATTTTGGTTTCGGCAATGTGCTAGTATGACTGTGCATGCAATGATATTATTTCAAGAAAGGTTTGGTGTTCTCGTAAGTTGGACTCCATGCCTACCATTATAAATGATTATGCGTCACGTGTCGAGTTAGATAAAGGTACCCAATGACATTCAACTGTGCTAGACTTCTTACGTGGTCATGGGAAAGACTTCGCTTATGTTAAAATATGATATTTCAAATGTGGACCAATAAAAGAGTTTTTTACACAGGGTGAAAAAATTACATTTATTAAGAATGTTTGTTTTCTATGAAAAATACTATAATATTTGAGATACCAAATTCTATCATTATCGTAACGTATATGTGTAATACTATATCCCCTTAAAGGGAATGCAGATAACTTGGTAACACCTTATATATCGATCGATAACAATATTTGAAAATGAACTGTAGATTCAGTGATGATTAAATCGATTCGATGTGTGTGTGTCTATATTGCAGATACGCAAACGTGGGTCTGTACGCGGGCGCGGCGGCGGCGGGCGAGGCGGCGGGCGGCGGCGTAGTCGGCGGCGGCGGCGGCGGCGGCGGCGGCGGCGCGCCGCGCTGGCGGGCACTGTACGCGCGGCGCGCGCTGCATCCGATAGCTGACCAGGTACTGCCGCTCACCGGCTAGCTACCCAGCGAGCGTCACTCTATATGACTATATCGTCACCGTTTCAACTTAGCTTTTTCCATTTGGAGCAAGTAATACATAAAACAGCCGGGTCGCTTTTTTCCAAAAATGAGTTTTGAACATATATGTACAAATTGTAACATTGCAGCTTTTTTACAAACACATCCATGTCGATATCTGTAATAATCACGGCCATCTACATCCCTTTACGGGGACACGGGTCCGGGCCTCGGGTTTAAACTCCTTGCCACAGCTTACCCTGCGCGGGCTGCCGCCTGCGCGTCGTTAATTTTGGGCCCGGGGGGCCGAACCGGTGCTATTGCAAATAGTCCAGGCTAGGAGAAAAAGGTGTGGGAAAAAATAAAAACAATAACATCGTGAGTCGTGAGTAGAGCATTTTGAATACGCTCTTTGAAAGCGACAGGGGCGGCCTCTATTCCCTCAGACGTTATAAAGTCACCGTCGAGGGGAATGTGCTGGAGGTCTGTGCGATAAACCGTACAGTTAGTACTCCGCCGCTCCGACCTCGGAGGTACTGTTGTAGTGGCGAGGTCAACCGTGACTAGAACCGGGAGGTGCTGTGTGTTTAAATCATACAATGTTTTTATAATGACCGGGCAGGCCATTTGATGGATAAGTACGATGTTCAGAACGTCCGAGTATAGATGAAGATTAGTCAGTATGTGTGTTGGATGCGCTAGACCCAATACATTATTAAAAATAGGATTCTTCCCGTCTAGTTCGTTCCGGATACCGGAGGGGCAAAATTCATTCACTGGGGGGCGACAGGCGCATTATATCTTCAATTCCGCGCCGTCGATGTTGATGTATACTCCTATGGAGCGTATGACCCGCAATTTGGGTAACTCGCAACTCATTTTGAATGGCGTCTCAGCGGACGAGTACCGTGGTACTGCGAAAGCTGTTGCCGGACAGCGCTCTCTCGTCACGCCTGGACACGTGGTAGGTGGGAATTAAGTACATGTGATAGGTGGCTAAATGCAGACGACGCGTATTCTATGAAAGCTGTCGGCCAGGTGTGGGTAGTGTGCAGTAGCGTGTCCCGCGCAGGAGAGCGTGCACGAGGCGGCGGCGGCGGCGGCGGCGGCGGCGTGCTGGTGGTGGGTGGGCGCGGGCCGCGGCTCGCAGACGCTGGAGTTCAACGAGCGCGCGCCGGGCGGGCGGCGGCCGCGCGCCGGCCGCGCCGCGCCGCGCGCCGCCGCCTCGTGCGGCGCGCTGCACGCCGAGCTGCCGTGCGTGCTGCTGCTGCCGCGCTGGCGGCCGCCCGCGCCCTGCTGCGCCTACCACCTGCTGCCCGAGAGCCACCGCGCGCCCGCGCCCGCGCCCGCGCCCGCGCCGCGCTGCCCACAGGTACACCTACGCCGCCGCCGCTTGCGCACTTACACCTTATCCGGCTCCGGGGATCATGTACTCCTACACTAGTAATACTGAACATTCAAGTTCCTAAAAGATGAAAGTGGTCAAATTAAAGTTTAGGAAGTGTCAATAGAAATTGTTCGTTAAAAAAACGCACACGCCGTTCTTACCAAAAAAATTGACATCTGTCGTAGTTTTATTAAAAACTGAACTCGACATGAAATGTGAGCGTGCAAGGTGCAGGTCGCCTCACGCGGCGCGTGCGCGGTGTTGCAGGCCGCGGACCGCGCCTGCTGCGAGGCAGGCGCGCGCGAGGCGCTGTCCAGCGACGACGACGACGACGACCGCGACCGCCGCGCCGCTCGCGCCGACCGGCCCGACCGCGCCGATCGCCCCGACCGCGCCGACCACCGCGACTAGTGCCCGGCCATCGCTTATTGTAGCGCGATCGCCGTGTCCCCATCAGTCACGTGATCGCGCGCGACGCCCTGCTCTGTCTATCCGACCGCTGGATCCCCGGGAGAAAAGGGTTCCTTCCGCTGTGCCGCTGCAGCCTACTACCGATTGTATATATTTAGCTTTCCAGGAGTTGTCGCTGTCAGTTCTCGAACATTCCCCCGTGTAGAGTGTACGCTAAGCTCTAGGTGATAGTTATTCTACTTAGTGAGTCGAGCAAACCTCTGCCTGCTCGCACTCGTACGTGCGTCCGCGCCGCGCCGCCGCCGCTGCCAGTGTCCCTCCATGTTAATATTTCTTCAAGCGTACTGTACGTAAATAATCAACATCGCGGCGCTGCCCGATGATACATTGTCATCATATTTTTAATAATATAGTATGATTTTTATATTTAGAAATGGAAAAACAAATTCATTGTATGATATTTGACAAGGATGAATAGCACCATTTTGTACAATTATAAACATTCCACCAGCTGCGGTTCACGAGAACCTACTTCGATCTGTGATATAATTATTTTATTAAGGTTATAATTTTTTTTTTAATAATATTCAACGAATAATAATTAAATATTAATATGAACTAGTAATAAACTTAATTTCACTATTTGCAATGGAGCCGAGTGCTGCGTGGCATCACCCTATGTTCTGTTTCGTGGGTATTTCACTGCGTTCGCGGACGTTTTTATACGTTGATTTATTCAGTCGGCGTGTCGCGGCACCGCACTGCTGCCTGCTGCTCGGTGCCGCGTGCCGCGTGCCGTGTGCTGTGTGCGCGACATCGCCACTCGCGTGCGTCGCTATTTGTCCGCAAACTATTTTCAATGTTCATTGTCTTACGATAACTATCCACGTATTAAATTTAATATTTCCGTATACTTGTATGTATACAGGACAAAGATATTTTATTGCACTGAAATATTGCTAAGTTGTCATCAGTGGGCGCTTGTTCGCGCGGGGAAATTTCATTAGATGGAAGTTTTGTATGATAACGCAGCTGTGATATTCCAAAGGCTGCTGCCAGTTACTATGAGAAAAATAAAATCATTGCCGAATATTAAGTTGCAAATAAAAAAATTACTATTTAAGAAAATCGTCGCCATCGTAGTACGTAATACATTTTAGTAGATATATTTTTCTTTATATAACTTTATATATGTATATTCATATATATTTATGTATTATTTTCATTTATGTAACACATAAGTATTTTATTATCGTTATGTGTGAGTATTTTTTTATTTACATTATTTATGCTTCTTATTAATTATCTTTAGCCCATTTTCTCTCTATTATTTGTTGTAACGCCTCGACCAGACACAATGATTCCTCTCCATCCTACGGTTGCCTGGAAGAGGTCGCTATTCAACGATAAGGCCGCCCATTCGTGCCTCCTTATCTTGCTTCTATGTAATTTAGTTTGTGTACATATTGTTAATATTTATATTTCGTGATATCTCTGAAGGCAACAAAAAAGAGTTTTCATCCGTTCATTTATTCAAAGACAAACAGTGCTTTATATGTAGGATGTGTAAGTCGTCGTTGGCAAGTGGTTGTCGAGCTCGCTGCGGAGGCGGCGCGGCGCCGCCGCCGTGCTGGCGTCTTATATTTAGAATACGTTGTGATTTAAATCTTTAAAAAGTATTTTTCTATCGTTACCACTGTGTAGTAGCTACATGCTGTTATGTCCTACTAGAACTACTAGGATTACTCTTCGAATCTCGTGTTTACGAATCGTAGTCAAATTGTAACGCAATAAACTTAATTATTATTAAATAAATATGCAAATTGTTTATTAATTTGTTGTTGTATTTATTTGTGTATTCACTTGTCTACCAACAAACGTTTTATAATGTGTTTCATCGAAGTCCCAGTGTCATAGCTATTTTTGTTCTAGGCCACTGTTTCCCAGCCTTTATTGTGCCATGCCTCGCTTGAACATTTCTAAAATTTTTATGCCTCCATAAATAAGTTTTCCCGACAAAGTTTACTTGACTCTTATTGCCCAGTTGATATTTTGGTAACGTCAAACGAAATTATACCTAATAAATATCTACAGCATTTTTTTTATTTACTTTTTTTTTTTTTTTTTTTGTTAAATTTGGCACCGGTATCTACTCGTAGCATTACATTTAAATAGCCCGAAACAAGACGGTTAAAATAGCTTTTACTCTATTTTTTAATTGCCCCCCTTAATTAGCAAATTGCCCCCCTGTGGGACGTGGGCCCCGCGTTGGAAAACACCGTTCTAGGCTCATCCAAACCAAATTACCTGTATGGTGACCGTAGACTTTTTCCGTGCCATATTGGATGCTAATATGCTTGGTGAGATGTGGCCATGAGAAATGCTTCATAACTATCTCTGTAGGAAGTATGGGCATAATTATATTTTTTTTATGAAACTAAATAAATAAGACAGCTCACCTGATGAGAAATGATAACCGTTCTCTGTAGACATGAACAACAGGAATATTACAGAACACACGGTTAGGATATGGTAAGAAGCCCACATGTCTTTCCATTCTAAAGGCTGTGTTTAGGTTTAAATGGTAGGATATGGCAGTGAATTGACAGGATACAGAGGAATAACACCTAAGTCCTCAGGAGTGGTAACGCATGAGAGAAACAGTATAGTCTGTTATGTTCATAGCGCTACTCGTGTCTACAAGTGACAGTTACCACTTTACATCAGGTGAGTCGTCAGCTTGATTGCCATTCTAAGGTGAAAAAAAAATGTGGAATCCTTCAGATCTTTCAATTTTCTTTATAATTTTATATTAATTTTTAAAATAATATAAAAAAACGCAGGATCAGCTTAAGTAATGGACGGGCCATGTATGTTGTCAGTTGAAGATGCCAACAGCGGAGGAACGCACGTGGAAAATGTCCAGCAGTGGGTGCTGGATCTGGACCAACATATAGAGACGATAATGTTATAATGATTCGTATTAGAGCACGTGATGATGTCTCACTCAATTAAACAAAAATTCTTAATGTAAACATACACTCGCCAATAGTGCCAGAATGGGTCCAGAACTGGCGGGGCACTAGTGAGGGATGATAGGGGAGGATAAAGCAGGTCAGTTGGCTTATCATTATGAATTCATCAAAAAATATCCACGACGGTTTCCCGTTGGAAATTTTGTAGACCTGCTAGAGTATATCCCTAGTAATCAATCTATTACGTATCATCACTAACAACCCTTTTCCCCCTACAAAAGGTAATAGGTATACGTACCCCTTGAATGGTAACGTCGCCTGCATTATAACAGGATTCAAATATGTTCGGTGGAATGTGGAAGGTGTAGACAGAATACCTCCAGCTACACTGCATAGGGGCTAAGGGATTGAAGGAAGAAAGTAATGGGGTCTAACAGCCTGATCATTGATTTTCACACAGGTGGGTAGTGTATTGTTGTAAATTCTATTCATGATGTAGTCAAGTAATTTGAAGCAAGTCATGCTCTCTAAGTTCCAAACCAGTGGCAACGTAGTGGCCGGGTCGTTGAACTTCCTGACATATGCTTGAGGGCAATGACGGCTAGCGCATCTGTCATACTCGTGAACGGATACTCCTCATGTTTACTTGTCTATTTCACATTGATATTAGTATATAAAAGTACATATAAACAGAAATCAATATAATCTTGTACATAAATAAATTGAAAAGAGTTACTGATAAGCTTCTTGCGGATTCTTCTCAGCAAATAACATTCCGAACGCAACATTAGAATCATAAAATACTTTGAAAAAGCTTGTAAACGAGTGTATTGTAATAAGGGTCATTTCTGGTCTATTGCTAATTATGTATATATATATATATATATATACAACTTAGAATGGCATGATACCCCCATACGTTGCCACTCCTGAGGTCCCATCAGGTCGACCTCTGCATGGTTCTCCCTGGGAATCATCGTTGTTAATTTATAATGAATTCGTCATGATGAGCTAACTGACCTGATTCATTCTCAACTCCCATTAGTGCAGGCGGGGTTACCGCTCCATCATCATGATATAAAAAAATATAATACATTGGATTGCACTCTATAAAACTTGTTTTTTTTTCTTAATCTCAAATTCTAACCCCAAATATCTCATGTCCTTCACTTAGAAATTTAGCTTGTCATATTTTTGACAAACTCAAAAAGGCGGATGCCCTACTATATATCCTGCGATAAACATTGTAGTTTATTTATTTATTTATACTTTATTGCACCATTTATAAAAAAGTAAATACATTTAACTGTAATAAGAAATGATACAAAAGGCGGCCTTATCGCTAGTCATTGTATACTATCAAAACATACCAACATGCTTGCATCAGTCTAGGATTAGGATAATGGTCTTGTAGGATTAATTGTAGGGTTCATCTTATAAATATATTTAATCAATAATTAAAATACAAGGATTATTTTGCAATAAAAGAAATAAATTTTTGAATCGTCCAAGTTAACAAAACTCGCCGGTCGCTGGCTCGTGCGCGGTATCTTTCTGCGCGCGCAACAAACAATCATAAAGCGCCTGCACGACCGGCGCGCGCATTTTGCGAATGAGTCCCGTGACCAAGCGTCATGATATAAATATATATATAACAAAATGTTTGTTTGTCTGCTTGTTTTTTTAAGTTCAATTATATTATAAAAGTTGATATATATATATAATAAACATTGGTGAGTATCATCTCACCACAGCCTTATTAAATTGTTCTTGTATTTAATAAATCTATCACAGCAATGATATATGAAATGTAAATCATTATTATTAATATTATCTTGCTGTGTAACTTATTTCCACCACTTCACTGTAACTTATATATCTACACTTTACGCATTTTTTAATTTTACGCAAGATTACATAAGAGGTTAGGAACTGTATATAACATTACAACAAGAAAATTATTAATAGTCTATTCTTTAAGTGCCAGCAGAATATCAGCGCTGCGGGTACTCCGCAGTTTAATGCTGAGCTGGTTGCCTTTTCACTGTTACGACACATAAAACCACTTACACATTTTTATTTCGCTTCTAATTGTGTGCTTGTATAGGTGAAGAAATAATTTATCTATTAATCTATTAACATACGTCTTTGTTTGGGTAGATACCTATTTTTTTTTAATGGGTGAAAATGAAATAGTGACTACGTCTGCGCTATCGGTATAGACCGGCGGGGCACCAGTAATAGATGATAGGTACTTGGGCTAGTTTAATGTTGATAATCCTATAAAGGTTGCATCTCACGGCTTGAAGATCGTTTTACCAATCGAGAGGGTGCTGTCGCATAGTACCTGAGCGCAACTATGATCGGATAGACGAAAAAAAAAACAATATGGCGTTGGCGCGAAAAGTGATCATGAGATATTAGCAGCATACGCTCTGTCTCGTGTATTTATTTTACTATAAACATCTAAGTGAAATTCATAGTCTGCTTACGACGTGGTTTTGTGTGCAACTTGTTAGATGTCATAATAAAACTAAGTTTCTATTGATGGAAAAACTATTAAGTGTATGGACACGTGAAGTATGACGCGACCCTGTTTCAATACAAGTTGTCGTGCGTGCTCCGGAGCCCGTGAGGCTCCTTAGCTGCGCCGTGGAGAAAGACACCAGCGCAAGGAGGCAGGCAGGCCGGCTCATCAAAGATGTACGACTAATTTAAGTTGTTGCGAACAGCATACTAATCTACGAAAGTCATCGTTAACCGCCCTCTCTGACCTCTCTTCGCCGGCCCCTGAACTTTTAGTTTTTGGTCCATACAATAGGTGAGAATGAGTAGGTCCGTTAGCTCATCACGACAATTTCAACAAGTATTAATCACGATGGTTTCCAGGGGAAACCGCGTGGAAGTCGACCTGATATTGCTAACGAAGAGGCAGTTAGACCCCATTACTAACAGTCCCTTTCCACTCCGGTACCTAATACATCCACCTACGCTCCCAGTGTACAACGGTGGATCACCAATGGAGTATGTAGTCGCTTCAGTTGCCCATCGTAGCGAATACACTACTATTCAACCATGATACATTTAGAATTAGAGTACTCACGTCTATTAGACAGTCACCTGCGTGAACCCTGCTCTTGCGACGCGAGCTTCAACGGTAAATAGAATCTAGTTTGCTACTTCCCGTGTTGTGTGCGTGAAATCTTTTTATTGTTATATGATTAGAATCTTTTGATTATTTTGTATTCGTTTGTAAAGTTTTGCAGGGACGCTCGTCTTGTTTTCGTATTTGCGCGGTGGAGTGGTGCGTCATGTTTCGCTCCAAAAGACTTGCCCACATTCATACGAATACTTATTATCAGTCCTACAATAAGTAGGTGCCGTACATAGAGATTAAATGTCAAATTTGTATAAAAAGTCTGAAATGGCAACGTGCCAGTGTTTTGGAATGCACGGTGTACGATGTTCTGTGAGCGGCATAGAATAGAACTTTCAAATGGAACTGTTTGACCGGTATCAACCTGTGTTTGTATGGAACCGCTAATATGGCACTAATAGACCTTATTAACCAAGTGGATGGACTCGAATTCAGTGAGGTTTCTAATAACAGCGAGTCATGGCCGACATAGATAGAAATAACTTCATTTGCATACAGTGGGTGTGACACATCCACCTGCATTGTTCTATCGCGGCGAATAATTGTGAACTTGCTCAGGAAGTATTCTACGTTAAAGGACTGCTATTCACTACCTGATATCATTAGATCTTTATGACCTCTCAGAGAAGTCCATTGTCCAAGAATCCACAATAAAATAGGAAGAATTCTTCATCATTTATACACGGGCTGAAATTTAACATACTGATCAATATTCTAGATATGCAGGTACTAGAAAAACTGAGCACTCCCCGAAGACACTTGCTTACCACACGTAGTAAGAGCTAAACGTATCCTGTTATTAGGTATGGAAGCAAAAAGTTGATTTTCTTTTTTCGATCCCCTGTACAGGTAAGAATACGCTGTAGATAAATCAGTTGATAATCTTTGCTCAAGTGGTCTGTACTGCGGATGTACTTACTGCACGGCGCACGTCACTGTAAGGCTCCGAGTGCGGTGACATCGGTTTCGTCAAGCTCGCGGCCGTGGTTCCCGGTGCGGCGCCGCGGCGGCCCGCAGCAGTGCGTGTCAGCTGATGGCCGCGCCGCGTGTCCGCCGCCGCGCCGGCGGCTCAGTCTGTCAGTGAGCGCGCAACCGACGCGACGTCGCTCGCGCATCGTGCCCCGCGCGACCTCCTAGTGCAGTGTGTCCGCTGTGCGGCTCCAGTGCAGTGTGTGCCAGTCGGTGTGGTGAGCAGCAGCGCAGGCGCAGGCGGCCGCGGGACACCGCACCGCGAGGCCGGTCCTCGTCCACCAGGCACCTCACAGGTGGGTACCACGCTCCAGGTACCGTCTACACCGCCCCGCTCCTTATGAATGTCTGCCTGCAGTGTTTTTGTACTTAAAAGTTGTTTAAATTATATACTTTGTTTAAGATTCTATTCCTAAAAAAGACGAGTTCAATCGGAACAAATGTAACGAAATTCTATCGATTGGAAAAACCTATAGATTCATTGTAAAAAGGATTAGTACATAAATTCGGTGCAGAATTGTGTAAGATATTGCATAACGCATACAAAAATAGAAATTAACATACTCTACGTTTTTTAAATAAATTGAGGCTGCATGAAATGACATGGAATTAGATATATTAGCAAGCAGCTTCTAACTAAACAAAGCTACCGTATAGGTATTATGAGTATCGGCCAATGGATAGACATACTTGAATAGATAGATAGATATATAGATGAACTTTTTTATGCATCAAAAAATATACAAAAAATATGACAATAGTAACAGAAAAAATAAACAGTATTTAACAAACGGGCGATTTTTATATATAACATAATATGCGCACCACAGTGATGCAAAAAGGCAATGTCTTATTTACATTTTTAATATAAACAATACACAAACAAACAGTTTTGTGTAGGAGTCGAACTTGAGACCATTGATAAGTGAGGCGGAGTGGCTAATCGCTACACCACCAATATTTTACTATATAAATAGATAAACTGTTTGATACATATTCGCCTCATCGCGAGATACTTTCGTAGAATATAGAACGAATGATACATACCATCTGTGGCTTTCCACACAATTACCTACACCAATTGTTTACTTCTCTTGTACACACACGCACACATCTTTTGTTTTCTTTTAATGGGTAAAGGCGGAATGGTACCCTCGCCTACGCTATCGGTAGGTATATGCTGGCGGAGTACCAGTGAAGGGTGACAGGTGAAGATGAAAGTAGGTCAGTTGGCCCATAGTGACCATTTGAACAAGAAATAATCACTATGGTTTCCAGGGGAAACCGCGAGCAGATCGACCTGATAGGGTGTATTGCTAGCAATGGGGCTGTTAAATCTCATTACTAACAATCACTTCCCCCCCCCACATCCACATCTTATGTTATAAAACTGATTATTCATTTAAGGATACAATCTTAGGTTCATACTAAAGCCCCAACCCAGTACCAATTGGAGGAAAAATATTTGTGGAGAATGGATTCTAATAGGCCTATCATGTAGACCACCGCGTGGTCCCTCCTGGAAACCATCGTGGTTAGTTCCTGGTGAATTCGTCACTATAACTTCACCCTCGCCTGTCATCATTCACTAGTGCCTCGCCAACGTATATCAATAGAACCGGTGGGGTTATCATTGCAATTTTATCAATGAAAAAAACTCGATTTAAGTTATCCCAAACTGATATCAAAGTTACTTATTTAAAACTAGCGACCCGCCCCGGCTTCGCACGGGTGCACACTACATCTCATCACATTAGAAATATCTAAAATTATCAGTGTTTTTCTACTATATTATACATATAAACCTTCCTCTTGAATCACTCTATCTATTAAAAAAAACCGCTTCAAAATCCGTTGCGTAGTTTTAAAGATTTAAGCATACATACGGACGGACAGACAGCGACAGCGACTTTATTTTATACTATGTAGTGATAATGAACGAAATGCAGACAACTCGATTATCATTACCACAGTAACTATCTATAAAACGCCTCTGAATGCTGTAACAGGAATTGCGCTCATCACCATGTTTTGTTCTTTAACTTTCAAAAACAAAAGATTTCAACGCGCTCTTGTGTCTATATAAATTGTAACAAGGTTTCTAGAGCGAACGCGGCGATCGGGACTTTTGAAGGATAGGTATTTTGCAAATCCATTGCTGTCGCGCCCGCCGTGCCCGGATCTCGAAACTAAAAATTTACAGCTCAAATTGTCATTTCATATTGTGTAAGGGGAAACAGGGGAACTGTTCCCCCTTTCACAACTGTTCCGATTTTGATTATATTTTCATAAATATAACAAGATAGTATGTTATGCCCCTACATCTTTAATTTCTTTTTATATTCATCAAATGTGTTCAGTGGATGTTTTACTGCAGCCATAAGATTTGACGATATCTCGCAATATTAAAAAAAAATAATGTGATCAGTATTTGACAAAAAGGAAGACATGCGAGCATGCCAGCGATGGATACAAATGGTACAGTGAAAAAAGTTTCAGACTAGTTTCATTGTCTAGAGAGAAAATAGGGAAAAACGTCTATAAGGGAAAAATGATGCATGCGTTTTCTCATAATGGGCGACAGGTGCAGTTTTTGTGTTCCCAGCGCGGGTACAGAAGTACGACAGTGTATGGCCTTTAAATGAAATTCTGTATGTACAAGTAATAACGCAGTGATTGCCAGCCCAGCGCCTGTGTCCGCGCCAGGCTACAATGTTGTCGTGTGTGGTGTCCTCGTACACACGAGTACTCAAATACTTAAATTATGAACAGCACGCCAGTACGTACATATTATGTACATGCGAGACTTTTTTTGTCTATATCCGACTCGTGAAACTCCAAAAAAGTAGCTAGATTATAATATATGATGAAGTATGAACATGTTTTTATGTTAAAAACTAAACTCAATGATGACACGGTAGAGTCGCACGTACGAAGCGCTGAGTACTCGGCGCTGAGGTACAGGTTTCTAGTTTTTTTCTTTTTTTCTCAATCGAACACTGATGATTATATCAACTTATTTTATGTACCATGCTATGTACGAGTATGTTGCCATAACATAAGATTGTGGAAAAAAATTAATATTGTTACGTTGTCGTAGGGAGGCGTGCTAGCGTGAATCGCTGCAGGGCAGCGACGCAGCGGGCGGCATGGTGAGCGTAGGCAGCGAGCGCGCATGAAGAAGTTCGTGCGAACGCGCGGCGCGCAGTCGCCGCAACGCCTGCCCAACGGACATGCGCCCGCGCACACCAACGGACACGCCAGTCAGTACCACCACTCTCATTCATACACATACATACATAAATTTGCAAAATGGTAAATAAAAATAATTCGAAATGAGCGTAGTTTGAACGCTGTACAGGGCCAGTGACTTTTACTGATTAATCTACCACTTGCCGTCTCGAAACTGTCATACCACACAATCTTGCTCAAGTATAGCCATCAATGCGCATTGTCAGCCCTATATCCACACGTATGCTTTGGGAACCATCGCAGTAAATTCCTGGTGAATTCATTACGACTGGCCAGCTGACTTGACATCCCCGCCTATCATCGCTCACTGGTGTCCCACCAGCGTACAACGATTGCCGATAGTACCGGCGAGGTTACCGTTATATTTTCACCGCATTTAAAACAAAACAGCATTACGGGCAAAAAGATTGCAGTAATGGGATAAATGGGGATAGCCGCTTTACCTATTGCTTACCTAGTGATTAATTCTTAATCAATTCATCAGAATTAGCCAACTGATCTGATTTTATCCTCACCTGCCTTTGTTTGGCGTCTTTAAGATTGATTATTCTACAAGCGGGGCCCGACCGCTTAAAAATATTTAGCAGCGTATTTAATCTCAGATGTATCTGCGAATAGATGAAAGCTACGTAAGGTAGGCACGATCTGCCCGGCTCCTTAAATATGCCTATATAATATAATACCGTCTGAAAGTATACCAATAGAGCAAGCTAGGTGATAATCTTTTTTTTTTGTAAATAGAAAATTCATGCTTAATATTTTTATTGAAATTGAATATAACACTATTTCCCAATGGTGACAATCAGATGATTCAAGCGACGATGGCGGCCAGCGTGGTAAATAAAATATTCGTACTAGTTTTTATATTTTTACAGACTTGTTGTTTTCCATTATGTCCTGCTTCAAAGCACACTACCTTCAATGAGCAGTGAAAGTTTCCAAAATTCGTAGCGTAGGGAGCGCGGCCCCGGTCGCGGCCGCGGCTCCGCTGCGCGGTGATATGAATCTAATTGTGGTACACTACAATGTAGGTACTGATCACTCGGACCGATATCTCACGATTTCCACTCGACCGCCGCCGCGTGGCGCCTCGTAACCCCGTGGCTAGTGTCTCCAGTGGCGATACCGTCCATACTGCAGTGAAAACGAAAGTCTACCTATATCAGAATGTAAAGGTGTCTATTGAACATTAGTGCTCCAATGGCACTGGGCAAATAGTGTGACAGCCTAGTACTAGTGGCTCGCTGTTGGATTACAGACAACAGCATGCAGTTTTTCTAATAGGTGATAATGGAATGGTTACCCCACCCGCGCTATTGGTATACACTGGCGGGGCACTAGTGAGGGATGATAGGTGAGGATGAAGCAGGTCAGTTAGCCCATCGTGACGAATTCAACAAGAATTGTTAACGATGGTTTCCAGGGGGAACCACGTGGAGATCGACCTGTTAGGGCGTATTGCTTGCAATGTCAAACTCCATTGTTAACAAGCCGCCTGCCAAGTGTAACAACTACGAGCTACCCCCCATAGGGGGCTTATGCCTATGTCCAGCTATGGTCAGTTAACGGCTAAATAAAAAAAGAGATCTAAAAGGGGCACCGAAAAGAAAAAGAGACGTTTAAGCTAGGATTAGTAAAGGATCGCATTAAATTCCTATTTGGAGTGAACAGCGCGGATCTTTGATAATGTTTTTTTTCATCGTCGGTCAGAGGAGATCTGCTGGGTGCCGTCAACACTTTCGTCGACCTTATTTCGTTCTCAGATGAGGTGGTGTGAAACTTGCCTCGGGGCACCAGAAACACTAAGGCTGTCCCTGTTGCCAAAGCTTACTCTCAAAATATATGTAATCGTGACGGCACATAGGTTTCTGATTGCGAGGACGTGATGCCCTGTGATATGCAAATGATTGTATGCCGATTGAAGCCAGTGTTGGCTGCTCAGTAGGTACTCGGTACTCGGTACTCGGTACTCGGTACTCGCCAGCACCTGCCCGCAGTCCGTACCCGTGCGAGCGGCGCGCATTCCCTCGCGTCCCAAGTACCGTTCACAAAATATAGCGCGCGCTCCACGCCCGCCGCCAGCCCCCGCCCCCGCCCCGGACCACGACCCCCGCCGCTTGCTTATCATAGCTTTGTTGTAATTAAAGTAATACTACCTACCTAGCACATGTGACATATAAAATATTAAATAATCAAAACTTCAATTTTGAACCTAAACAATTATGTTTGATTAATCGTGCTACGTTACAATTATTCTTGAGCTATTCATTTGAAAACAACTTAAAATTATCTTATATACCTACATAAAAATATAGATATAAGAACTTTTTTAAACTTTTAACAATAAAATAACTATTTATTTGTTTTTGCCCAAATGAGATCGCCAGTCGTTTATCAGTCGTGTAAATGTTAAACGTTAAGCTATTGTGATCATTATCAACATATTGTTGTTAATAATGAACGATTCTTTAAAAGCCTAAATAATAAGGAGCTTTACTTAAACGCAGCTATACGAGTAGCACCGTTCTATTTATATCATTCTACTGACCTAGGTTGAGTTTGTTTCCAAATATGTACTGAAAAGTAGATTAGTTATTAATTAGTCTCAAAATACTATTAAAAAACTTAGGAGAAAAAAAACATTTCTTAGACTTTTCTTCATAGTTTTTGAAGTTTTATATTAATTAAATTCTGACGCTTTATCTATTATTAATATTCATCTTACTGCACTCGAGAGCATTGAATCTGGGTCACTTAAAAAACATATATATCTCGGTAAATAAGAATGCTAGCTTAATGAAATAAATTGTGTTTAGTGGACAATTAAATACTCCTTAAATTAAGGTACGAGTATTAAAACATCTTAGTTACTGCAAGGTTATGTCATAAAAAAAAACCAAATTTGAAAGAGGGAGACTTTCGAAGATGGAACTACGAAGTTACTGCATTTGATTTTCCTTTTGTTTCTAATCTGTCATTTAAGTGGGTATATAAATGGTTTCATTGTGAATAACTACCTACAAGAGATGAACATTACTCGTATGGAATGGCCAGCACGCAGCCCGGATTTCAACCCGATCTAGGAAGATGCGTAAAACAACGAAACCCTTCTCCAATCACGTTTCGTGAGCTCAAAACTGCTCTCACAGAGGAATGGGAGAATATTTGCCAAAATCATATAAGAAACTTGGTGTACAGTATGCCAAACCGCATAAACGCTGTAATGGAAGCACAACGAGGCAATACAAAGTATAAAAATTCAAGAAAATCATATTGTTGTGCAACAATGTCATGTTTCCTATTTTTGTTTAAAGGCGAGATCAGCAGTTTTTTCTTTATGTATTTTTTAATAAATTAAATGTAGTGACTTGTAAATTTTTTTTTTATTATTTTAATTTAAGGGTATTATATTGTCTATTAAACACCGTTCATTTTATTAAGCTAGCGTTCTTAGTTTCCAAGATTTATAGGTTTCTTTAGGTGACCCGCATTCATTCATAGCTCTCGAGTTTAGTATGTGTGGAGTAGTTGGAGAGATAGATGGATACGATTGTAAGTTGCATTCAAAATATTCTCGGCTGCGTCATGTCACTGTGCCCGTGACGAGCGGGCCCGTTACGTTGAATTCCACCTGTGATATTATTATAAATAATGAACAGTTACAGAACTCCGTAATAAGCATGGCCCAACTTCTCCTCGGCTCTTCACTGATCTTTATATCGGTAATAATGCATAAACTGGATAAATATTTATTTTGAGAAGGTACACCCGCATAAACTCGCATACAATGTGTTTACGGTAACAGTAATCTGAACAGACGATTAAATTGAATAACTGGTACTGTGGAGATGTAATTTGTTCCACTTTGTAATTACTGATCGTTTGTCGAGTGGTTAATTAATGTTGCACTACGCTGTAGGTACCTACTCGTACTCACGCCAGCGAACCAGCTACGTCTGATCTGGAGGCGGCGCCGGCGCCCTCTGGCCGCGTGTTTCTGCTCCAACTCGACATTGGCAGGAGAGACGCCTTTTACTCGGTCGCCTCGAAAAACAATCGCTGATAACAATTAATTATAGTACGAAATAAAAAAAAACGTGATCGTTACTTTCGTCGTGACGACGCCACTTTTCATTAACTACTGCACCAATTCTAATCACGCACGATGTTTATTTTTTGCGTGTAAACTAGGTAAAGAACGCCGTGTTTGCTCGCATAATGTTCCGTGAAGCGAGTGGAGGCGCCAGCCGATGGTAGGAACTGTTGTAACTATACCTAGTACTATGACATGAATTACATTATCCAATATGGAATAGATGGCTACCTGTCCTCTCCTACTTATGACTAAATTTGCTAAAGTTTATTTGCGTATTTAAAATTACAACGAGGCATTTATAACGTAGGAATTAATAATAATAATACTTTGAGTCACTTTAATTTTTTTAAGTTACCATCATGTAGGTACCAGATTTTTTATTAAAAGGATCGATATGATTTTTGTATTAAGATGTTAACATAGTGAGTTATTTAATGCACAGCTGATTGGATAATGTAAACGCGGCCCGAGTAGCGGCCGGGTTTCGAACACGATTAAAATCCGGAGCGCCGACAAAAGAAACTCGCAAGAATTACGACCATTAGAACTTTCTCGCGAAATCACGAATTCTAATTTTGATGTTTCTTAGAGTAGGTATTTTGTGTTTACACTGTTCATTCAAACAATTAACAATTGCAGATTTTACATTCTGCCACTGCAGTAATCTACACATTCATGGCATAAAAGTAAAATGCTGACATTATGGTGAGGAACAAGTGAATGATGATTGACCCGTCGTGACAAATACGCTAGAAATTAACCATGAGGGTTTCCAGGGGTGACCGCTGACATAGGCCACTAACAAGATATATTATTCATCTAATCCGGTTACTAACTGTCCCCTTGGCACCTGTGTATTGTTGTATTTAGCTCCCTAAATCGCCTCTTACGGCATCCTTGAAAAGAAATAGAGTCACGTTGTACTTTTGGTTATGGTCATGTAACATGCTCTTGGCCAGATTTTTTCAATTTCTGGCAAGCCAATTAATCACGTCCAGAATGTTCTGCTCGCACTACTAATTGTCTGCTAGGTAGGCCATCCGCGTTTTGTTGACTTTGCTGTCCGATGTGGGTCGCCGGTGTCGTCAGCGCGCCGTGTTCATTACTTGTTACCTCATACATAACTACACGTCCATCACTCACACCCGCCACCGCGTGCTTTGCGTAAATAAGGGCCAAGATTCAATTCTCTGTCCGGCCAATTTTCAACGCGACCTTCTAATTATTTGCTCTAGTCTGCGTGTACTGGCTGTTGGCCCTGGATGTTGTTTGCCCAATTTCTCGTGTTACTAATACAAGTACAACCATCCTGTAGACTGTAGAGTATACTGGAGTACACGCACTCGACCCTCACGCTTCTGACAACTGCAGTGAATCGGATAATGGATACGTACTTACTAGATACTTAATTACGCGACGAACTCATTCAAGTAGTGAAACATGTACTTTTTTGTACCTGATAGTACTTACTCATAGATACAGTAAACAATATCTACTATTCGTCGAGTTACACTCGTGACCTCGTACATGTTTAACGCATTGAATCAACCGTTTCATAATTCCAAAGGCGACAGAAAAAAAAATACCCAGTATTAAATATCGTCTAATGAGTAGGCTTTGTTTTGTATTAATTTTTTAAAACATCTCTAAAGTCTAACTAAAATTGCCAATCCACATGCTAAGCATGGCAACTACTGGCAAAACTCTTCAAGGAAGAGGCTTATCTTCAGCAGTGGACAATTAAAGGCTGATATGATGATGATGATGATGATGATGTAAGTTTCGCCTGAAATTATTTTACCCTCCAATTTACTTTAACTGCCGAGTGTATGAGTAACGAACAGATTTACAAATTGTCACATTTATATTATTATCAGAACTGGCCGTACTCCTGATGATGATGCGGATGATGATAGCCGTACTGGACGGCTTTGCCCGTGTGAATTATAATTAAACGTATCTAGGGCTACGGCTGCGAATGAATATGGATGGTGTGTGCGGCGAATTTGAATCCATTTAGCCGTACGGGGCAAACAGCACTACAAATAGTTGTAAATAGTGAGATAGTTTTCTTTTTTTTTTGCTTAGAAAGGAGAATGGTAACCTCGCCTCCATTATCGACATGAACTTCCGGGACACCAGTGAGGGATCTGTGGGATATAATAGGTTAGAATTGAGGATAATAGCAAGCTGTACCTTACAGCTGAGATGGTCGCATACAGCGCGGTTTCAGAGTTGTTTTCTCCCACGAACGCTCAAGTTATGGAATGAGCTCCTTATAGAGGATTTTCCAAGAGATAAAGCGTTGGATTGTTAAAAAAAAAGGGGTAAAGAGGTTTCTTCAGAGTCGGCAACGCGCACGTAATGCATCTAATATTGCAGGTGTATATAGGCTACGGAAACCGGTTATCATCAGGGGCAAACAAGCATACGCTTGTTTGCCCCCTCAGTGGTATAAAATAAAGTCAGTTGGCGCATCGTGATGTATTCCCCAGGAATTAACCATTATGAAATCTATGACAACCCGACGAGGGATACTAGAATATTTTAATTAAAACCAAAACAATGACTTTCAGTGAAGCATTACTTTTGCTTGGTGTAGATGGCACGGGCGGCGCGGCGCTCGCAAGGCACCGGGACGACCAGCACTCCACGCTCTCCAGGTACACTGACCATACACGATCATATAGCTACTGCTCTACGTATTGGGACCAGGTTACACAATGCGTATGTATGTTTGTCACATCGTAACGGCACAACAATGTTTTTTGCTTAAATGTACTTTTTTATTGTTAAAAGTCAATATATGTGCTAAATAGGAATTGTGATGTGCTATGTTGTAATCAACTAATTCTTGTATAAGTACAGTGCCTACGTAAACTTAAATAATTTAGTTTTCCGTGTGGTGTGAGTGTGTGTGTGTGTGTGTGTGTTTTATCCCCTGAATATTGTATGAAGCGATTACACAAACAAAGCACTAAATCAGTGCAAGATTGGGGAAGAAATAAAACCTCGTGCGTAGTGAGCCACCTGAACAGCATGCCGATAGTGTGTATCTTTCTATCGTTGGAAATGGCCACGGTCGGCAGCGGTATGTTAATTGATCGTTACATTGGCGACAGACACTGGAGCGGGTCGGAGGGCTCCGGCAAGGGCGGCGGCGGCGGCGGCGGCGGCGGCGGCGGCGGCAGCAGTAAAGGATCCAGGGCGCAGCCGCTGTGGGAGGACCCGGAGTTCCCGGCCACGTGGCGCGCGCTCGGCGACCGGCGCCGCGCCGCCGGCGTCGTCTGGAAGCGCCCGCACGTAACTATATATCTACCTGCCCTACTGCTGCCCTGCCCACACGTGCCCACTCCATAGTTCCCCACGCCTGGACCACTCCTCTTACATGTACAGATGGACACCTCGAATCCCAGTAATTTCCTAGCCGTATAGTTCTATAGCCGTCAAGTTAATATTATGGCTCTCTGTCTACATGACACAAGAAATATTCAAACACACCTGGACATGCTCGTGCATGAGATGGTATAGAAAAACTGTGAACAACCTTGTCGTTGCGACCAGAATCGAATCCAGAACACGTTTGCACGCTTTTACATTAGCACTGCTGTTTGAAGGCTACAGTACAATGTAATGGTAAATAACAAATACACCGTGTTTTAGTTGTCACAGCTGCGCACCACATGCCCATGTACTTATTTAATAAAACGTGTATGTACCTACACCAGTACATATCGTATGTTGTAATTTGGTAAATAGACAACGACACTGTTCTACTTACTGCGCCGTTCGCATACAATACATTGGGTCACCACTACATAACACATTATATTTAGGGGGAACGGATTGTTAGTAATGGGGAGGTTTGTCACCATTGCTACAATATACCCTATCAAGTCGACCTTCACGCGGTTCCCCCTGGAAACTATCGTGACTATTTATCGTTAAATTCGTCACGATGGGCTAACTGACCTGCTTTTTCATCCTTACCAATTGTCCTTCCCTGGTGCCTCGCCAGTGTATACCGATAGCGCAGGCTGGATTTCCATTTCATTATCATCCAGTAAAATAAACACATTATATTTTAGTTACAATAAATCTATACTTATTATGGTTAATTATTTATTAATATTTAACAACGCAACGCTTCAATTCTTTTACAATGAAATTGATACCGACAGTATCATATACCGCAGTAGTAAGAACTTGGCTTCTGCAAATTTAAAAATAAGCGCTGCTTGCGTAATGTAGCCGCTGTATGTCCGCGAGTACTCACTCGCGAGCGTCGCGTGCGGTGCGCGTGCACGCTTACGTAACGCGGCGGACTGCACCGCGCGCGTACTTGCACCTGCGCACACGCAGACGGCTAATTCACTGATACGAATAGTCTAATGTCTGACGTCACTTATCATTTTAATTTTACAAACGCCGATCTAAAGTCTCCCTCAGGGGGGGGGGGGGTGGAGGCATTGTTAATAATGGAGAGGTTGGTCACTATTGCTATCAATATACCCTATCAGGTCGACCTCGGCGCGGTTCCTCCTGGAAACTATCGTGATTTGATTTCGTCACGATGGGCTAACTGACCAACTTTTTCATCCTCACCTCTCACAGGTGCCCCGCCAGTTTATACCAAAAGCGCAGGCGGCGTTACCATGCCATTTTCATCCATTAAATAAAAGTCTGCGTCACGTCGACACCAGTATGAGTTAACTCATACTGGTAACGCTGCTTCCGTTCGACGTTGATTCATAACAAATTGTATTGTGCCAGCGCCAGAGTACTAGTACCAGTATGTACATAGAGTTTGACATTTCAATTTCAGTCCTGAGAGTAGAACCCGTACGACCCGTGTCGACTCGTACCGATTTCATGTATGAAAACAATTCTGTAACATGCGTCATGATACAAAAATTGATAACGTATTATAGACATTTTGAACAATGTGATAACCACTTTAGTACCTTTTTTTTTTTAAACACAGGGGGCAAACAAGCATACGGCTTACCTGATAGTAAGTGACTACCGCCGCCCATGAGCCGCTACACCAAAGGCATTGCAGGTGTGCTGCCGGCCTTTTAAAAAGGAATGTGCTCTTTTCTTGAAGGTTATGATGTCGTATCGGTTCGGAAATACTACTTCTGGAAATTGATTCCGAAGTGTGGTTGTGTGTGGAAGAAAGTGCCTTGAAAAACGCACGGTGGAAGAGCGCCACTTGTTATTACTAAAAATAACACCTGTAAAGTGTACGGCATAGTATAAAAAAAGACATTTACTATCCCCTGTATTTTTTTTTTTTTTTTTGGGTGCGTGTTAAGCGAATTATAAAACGATTTTAATATATTTCATTTTTGCAATCGAGAGGGAGACTTTGTATAAAAGTTGTTTGCTTGGGTACCTCTGTCCCATTCTTGTTTCAACCGTAAAGCAGTTGTGTTTGCATGGCTGTGTTTCGGTTTGAAGAGTAGGATATGGCGTAAATTTACTGAGTACAGAGGAATAACACCTGAGTCCTCAGGAATGGCAACGCATGGAGGGTATCATGGGCGAAACAGTATACTCTGTTATGTCCATGGTGCTGCTCATGTCTATAGGCGACGGTTACCACTTTCCATCAGGTGGGCCGTCAGCTTGTTTGCCATTCTAAGTTGTATAAAAAAAAGAGAATTTACTGCATTAATTTGTGACGAGCTGTAGTCACCATTTTTACAAAGCAATATTTTATTTTAAATACAGATGTTTGTCATTGTATTAATTCACTAAAATAAGCACGAATTATTACTTTTCTCGGTATACTTAATCCCTACAGCAACAATACCTATGGTAGTTTTTGTCGGCGTGTTGCGGCCGCGTCTCGTGCTCGGTTACCGTTTACTCTATTATTCAGTCGTTAGTTACAGATACAGTTGTAAGCGTGTAGCGTAATGGTCACTGGGCTTGTTTATGTCGGTCTGTTCAAGCTTGTCCGATACCTCGCGTGCACCTAATGCAAGTGAGCCGATCGACTACTCAAATAAACGTAACATTACTCAAACCGAACTTTATTGTTCGAGTTATTAATCCGTTTATACACTATATACGGACGGATTATGTAAAATTATGTTGACCAAATATAGGTGACATCCGAGAAAGAAACAAGTTAATAATACCTACTCGTAACCGGCCACTGGTATGAATAGAAACACTTTTTGTCATTGGAAGTGTATAAAACAATAGCGTTGCCAAGTGCACGGCGATGGCATACATATGAAGTGCGATGCCTTTTTTGATGGCAACGAGCGAACCAACCCGCTGATAGTAGTATCGCTCCTCAATAGATCACGCTAATCGATATTCAGGGGCCGACACTAGATGATGACAGCGATGGTCGGGCCGCCGCCGCCGCCGCCGCCGTGCGCCGGTTCGGTCAGCGCTCGGTGCGCGCACGCAACGGTACCGTCTTCCGTGGTCGTCGCCGCGGCCATCGGTCGCCTTTCAGTCGCACCTCAAAAATATTAAATCTAAAAATATTTAGGGATCTATCTCTTAAACTCTGAAAGGAGTCCATGGCACCTACTACAGATTTCCGTTACTACTAACTACTGTTAGTTACTAAGTTGTAAGTTACTAACTGTGATGACCAATACCAAGCGTGGCAACTACTGACAAGATCTCCCAAGGGGAGGCTTACGTTTGCTAGTGGACAGACAACGGCGGATACGATACGATATAGTTTACTACATAATATGTCTCTGTACTAACCACTTGGTAATACGACAAAAACGCCCATAGAAAAGTTGTGAGAAGTAATAGTATTGCCGTCTGTAGATCCATTAGACGGTTTAGCAGCGCGCCGCCAATACCTAGTTCCCGGTACAGTGTAGACGCTAGACAGCGGGTGTGGGAGCGGCTGCATGGGAGCACACAGTTTAACACAATGCACGAGCGTGGCGTCATCTCGCGGGCCCGATACGAGCGGGCCGCCGCCGCGCCGCGCCGCCACGCGACTCGTGCTGTCTTACCACATGTCATGTGGTTGGACGTATTGTATAGGGCGCTACTCATACAACAATACTTTATATATATATTACTTAATGCTTTTATATGAAAATAAAAATGACAAAATGAATCTAGAACCAATAGAACCAACACGTATACGTAGATATTAAAAATAAAATCAAAATCTTTTTAAAAATAGATAGATAGATAGATAAACACTTTATTTGAGCCATTTAACACACGTAAATTAATGAATAAAATGATACAATTTGATTATTTACATTTTTTCAAATATAAAACAACATATAGAACAAAAAATGAATATTGGAGATATGTTTTCACCAAGTGTGTCGCAGTGACCCAAAAAGGCTACAGCTCAGTGATACTTTTGCTTAAAAGCAAAGCACTGATTTTCAGCTGCAATCTGAAGTAAAATAGCGAGGATATTGCGTTACATACACACAAAATACGCGCGAACTGAGTACCTCGTTCTTTTTTAATGAGCAAAAACAAATATAATTGTCTATGCTCTTGTGAACAAAAGTTTGAGCATAGTATTTAGTTTTCCTTAACAATACAATAGGACAACTAATTGTCTAAAACGTCCGTCGTCATAAAGTTGAACGTTGTAGAGGCGCGCTGCCCCCGTCCCGGCCCCCGCCCCCACCGGCGACAGCGACGGCGACGGCGACGGCGACGTACACACCATGCAGTCACGCGATGCCCCCACAGTGCATGTTCACAGTCGTACTGCTTATTAGTACCGTCGTCATCACGTGTCACCATCAGTCGCCGCGCCATATTAGTTGATAGTGCATGAAAGCTAAGCTCTTAACGGTAATCCTGTACAGTGGTGTTGAACCAGTCATTCGTTTGGTCTTGTTGCATATTACATTTCGTGCCTCCTGTTACTATTGTAGTGTGCAACATGTGACAGTGTCGCAAGTCGCGAGCTGCGCTCCGGCCACTTTTATTGCAACGTAACGGTGGTGCGGTGACCGTTGTCGCCGCCGTCGCGCCGTCGCGCCGTCGCGCCGCCGCACTCTCATTTTACTGTTTATGATTTTTTTTACGACTGCGATGCCTCCAGTTCGTATGCGAGTACCTACACTGCGCCACCATCCTACCCACATAGAGGGCGACCTTTGCGACAGCTCACAACATTAGTGCACGGTTATTGCACTATAGTAGTTCGAGCCCGGCATCCGCCATTCGCGCTCCGTCCACTCCACCTCGCACCAGCTACTTCACCGTTTTATACGATATTCACTGTAGCTAACTGAATTCAAACAGAAAATAGTTCTTCGATCACATCAATATAAGTC